TCGCCATCGACCTTGTTCGTATCGCTTCAAACATTTTTACAAACAATAACCCTTGATCCAACATCAAGTGGTATTTTTCTCATAAAAAATCCAAAACACAATAAATATACGATTAGGGTTATACACCATGAACTTTAAAGTGGTAGAGAATAAATGAGAATGGAACCCTCCTACACTTGTTCCGAATGTTTTGAATACAAGGCGCTCGACTTCGTTATTCGAAACATTCATCTCTATCCAAAGTTTTAGTGTGATCCTAATCAAGAACAATTTCATTTCAAAAAACCTAAAAATTACATCAACTCATCAAACTTATTTTCGCCTTAGGACATCAATCCGAAAACCCTTTTTCAAGGTATAAAATCAACCAACAAACAACTATTTCACAAGCCTCCAAACTACGGAGCTCTAATTCTTCACTTCTTTTAAGTAAGGATACGTAGGCACAAGGGCCACAATCCTTGGCGAGCATTAAAATAAAAACCAACCCCCTCTTTTCCCTTAAGCAAGCACACTTTTAATAATAAAAACACTCATTCATGCTAAACAACCTAGAAGGTTCCCATCGACTACAATGGATGCGAGGGGGTGCTAATACCTTCCCCTCGCATAACCGACTCCCGAACCCTAAGACTTGGTTGCGATGACCATGCTCTTTTCCCAAAGGTTTTATGGTTATTTCCCTTTTCCTCGTTGGGATAAATAAAATACAGTGGCGACTTTGTGTCATTTTTCACGTAGCGATAGTCCTGTTTTAAGTCATATAGGGTTTTGTGAAGTCTGCACACTAATGATCTGTCAGTACTATCCAGACCTGGAGGTTGCTGCATATATACTTCTTCTAAGATGCTATTAAGAAAGGAATTATTGACATCAAGTTGTGTCAATTGCCAGCCTTTGGATATAGCAATGGTAAGGATTATGCGAACAGTAACGGGTTTTACAACAGGGGGGAAGGTATCTATGAAGTCAAAACCATGTTAATGAAAGCCCTTGGCTACCAGCATGGCTTTGTACTTATTCAAAGTGCCATCGGGGTTTTGTTTCACTTTAAAAACCCATTTGCACCCAATAGCATGTCTGTTGGGTGGGAGATAAGTGAGAGTCCAAGTCTGATTTTTGAATAGTGCAGAGTACTCTGCATGCATTGCTGCTAGCCACTTAGGATCCTTCATGGCAATTTTGTAAGATGAAGGCTCCAATTCAGTAAGAAGAAGGGTAGGATGCAGTCTAGGTTGAATTATGCCACCCTTTCTTCTAGTCATCATAGGATGGGTATTTTGGGGATGGAGAAAGAGAAGATTTGAAGATGTAGGATTGGTAGGTGAACTGGAAGACGAGGAAGAAGATGTTGGAGATGCTGCAAGAGGAGATAGTGCAGGGTCAAATTCAAAAAGGGAATCAGCAGACTAGTTCAAGGGAAGAATAGAAGATGGTGGAGAAGATGATGCACTTGTGTTAGGAGAAGAAGAATGGTTGCCACCAGATAGAGAGGCAGAGGGATGTTAAGAGGATGCGGGAGGAAAAAGGTAAGGGTATAAGAGATAGTTTAGGTTGGAAGGGAAAAGGGGAAGAGGGAGAAGAACTTTGGGAGGGAGTAGTAGAAGAAGCAACCTCAGTAAAAAATAATTGTGGATATGAAAAATTAGATTCATTGAAAATGACATCTTTGGAGATGTAAAGTCTTTCATTAGGAGCAAGGCACTTGTAACCTTTGTGATTAGATGAGTAGCCTAGAAAAATGCACTCTTGTGTGTGAAAGTTAAATTTGTTAGGAAAGTAAGGCCTAAGGTGTGGGTAGCAAGCACACCCAAAGGCCTTGAGAAAGGTGTAGTCAAGATGAACTTTGTATAAAAGAAAATAAGGAGATTGCAGAACAATAAGGGAATAGGCATCCTGTTTATGAGATATGAGGCAGTGAGGCAGGCATGATTCTAAAATTTTAATGGAAGATTGGCTTGATCTAACAAGGTCATACCAGTTTCAACTACACGTCTGTGTTTTCTCTCTATAGTACCATTTTGGTGATATGTGTAAGAGCAGGCCAGTCTATGAGCAATACCCTTTGTAAGTAAGAGAGACTTGAGAGCTTGGAACACCTTCCCCCATCTGTTTAAATGGCTTTTAATTTAGTGGAAAATTGAACTTCAATAGTTGTGATAAAGTGTGTGAATGATAAGAACATCAGATTTAAACTTCATAGGAAACACTGAAGTGTACTTAGAACAAGCATCAACAAAAGTCAACAAATATTTTTATCCATATGAGGAAAGTACATGGGAGGTCCCCACACATGAGCAAACAACAGATCAAATGGTCTAGTGTATATAGTGTGTGAATGTGAGCTAGGTAACCTATGAATTTTGCCCAAGCAGCGGGGACTACAAAAATCTAATACATATTTGTGAGGTTCAAAAACTTTGCACATTTAAATAATAGTCTTCAGAGCTTCATGATTATGATGACCCAGTCTGTTATGCCACATAAGATAAGGTGAGATAAGTTGTTGAGCAAAGGTTGGTGCTGGTGTAGAGATTGTTGCAGGGGTGAAGTCAAATTGTGTGGAGGTTCCAGTGACATTATTAACAGCTACTGCTGAGAAAGGATTAAACTGAATGGAATCAAATGTATATAGTCCATCTTTATTCAGAGTACCTTGAAGCACCACTTCAGAATTGGCCTGAGTTTTTACAAAGCATTTGTCAGCATGAAACTCAAAAAATACCTGGTTGTCCTTGGCAAGTTGACTAACAGACATTAGGTTTTTATCAAAGGTATCTAATTTACATTGTGGGTCGTTCCAGTTAGGGAAAACACACTCGTAGTCAATTTCCCAATTGAGTCAACAAACGAGTTTCGTCCCCCTTTTGCTTTAATTCACAATGATGTTTAGGGTCCCTCGTGTATTGTCTCTACTCTTGAGTCTGGGTATTTGTCACCTTTATTAAGGATTTTTCACGTTGCATGTGGTTATTTTTAATGAAGAATAGATCTGGATTATTTTCTATTTTTTAACAATTTTATTGAGATATAAAAACTCAAATCATTGTGTCTATCATTACCTTAAGAAGTAACAATGCCTGTGAATATTTATTCCAACAATTTCAATTTTTTATGTCACACAATGGTATTCTCCATCAAACATCCTTCCCTCGCACACCTCAACAAAACGGTGTAGCCGAACGCAAAAATCAGCATCCCGTAGAAATCACTCGGACCCTACTTCTACTTGGTACTGTTCCACTTTGGTTTTGGGGGAATGATGTGTTAACGGCATGTTACCTTATAAATCGCATGCCCTCGTCTATCCTTAACAATAAAATCTCTCATTCAATCCTTTTTCTCAATTCCCCACTTCACCCAATTCCTCCTCGAGTCTTCAGGTCCATATGTTTTGTACACAATCTCTCCCCTGGTCTTATAAACTATTATCCTGATCACTAAAGTGTCTTTCTTGATTATCATCAATTCCAAAAAGGTTATCGTTGTTATTCACATACTCTATAACGATACCTCATATCAACCGATGTTACCTTCTTTGAGTCTGTTCCATATTTCGAGTCCAGCCAAGCAACTCTGGAACCCCTTCAGGAAAGTATTCTCACACCTCTTCTGGAAGTCCCATATGTTGTTGTCCTCCATCATTCTAGGATACACACGAATTTTTGGATTGGATTATAGTGATACCTTCTTGCCTGTAGCCAAGATGGCATTTGTTAGACTTCTAGCCATTGCAGCCATTCAATATTGGTCTCTTCACCAACTTAACATTAAAAATGTTTTTTTACACGAGGATCTTGAAGAGGAAGTATATATGCAGCAACCACTTGGGTTTGTTGCTCAAGGGGATTCATCGAATATGGTCTGTAGGCTACACATGTCTCTTTATGGTCTTAAGCAATCTCCGAGAGTTTGGTTTGGCAGATTCAGTGTTGTAATACAACAGTTTAGTATGGTCTGTAGTGAAGCTGACCATTCTGTTTTTTATCGTCACTCAGCTCAATGGTGTATTTATTTTATTGTGTATGTAAATGATATTGTCATAACTGGTAGTGATCAACACAGAATACTCTAGTAAAAACATCTCTCGAATCAATTTCAAACAAAAGATTTTGGTGAACTCTGTTATTTCTTGGATATTGAGGTAGCTCAATCTAAAGATAGTTTGGTGATTTCTCAACGAAAACATGCTATGGATATTTTGGAAGAAACAAGTTTGTTGAATGGTAAACCAGTTGATACTCTTATGGATCCAAGTGTCAAACTATTACTCAATCAAGGGGAGCCTCTATTTGACTCTGGAAGGTATAGGAGATTGGTTGGAAAGTTGAATTATCTCACGGTCACTCGTCCAGACATTTCTTTTGCAATCAGTGTGGTAAATCAGTTCTTAAATTTCCCTATATCTAATAATAATAATATTTGACTTTTTTTAACAGGTCAAATAATATTTGTTTTGATGTATAAAACATTTACTACATCTATTAAAATATGATTCTAGAACAAAAACTATTTTAAAATAAACCTTTCCTATCACATGCCAATCATAATTAAATAAACCTTTCCTATCAATGTACAAATACTCACAATTCTCATAGTCAATTATCTATTTTATACACAGCCCTGGAATTGATGAAAAGGAACTAAAATGCTCCAGATAATTACCTATACAGTTTCCAGAATCTTAAGTCAGATTTCACTCCCTTCAACAGCTCAACCTAACAAGAAAAAAGGGGGGAAAACAAGAAATACAGTTTCAGCCAAGAATCCCAGTAAGCTACAATTCAGTAAAAATGGAAAGTTATATAAGCTTTTATGGTAAGCCTAACAGAATTAATAGCGTAAATCAAGAAATCTAACTGTTGAATTATAAACATAGTCTATCACTAAATTAGCACTTGGAATCCAAGTGCCTGGCCATCATTTAAATTTCTATTTTTAATGCACGAGTGAAAATGAAAAGATGCATACAGAAAGCAGAAGTCTGTTGCAGATGAAGATCATTTCCTTTTAGCATCTATGAACATGGCTCGAGTCCAGTGCTCAACATCCTCAGTTTGTGATGGCGGAGGGGGAAGAGTGGGATGTTCAACAATATCCCACCCTTCAATCAGGCACTCACGTTTTCGATCAGATGAATCGGTGGGATATAGAAAACTAGCAGCAGAACTCGGTATATAATTCTCAATTCTCTGCAATCAATGAGAAAAGCATAAAATATATTTGTGAGGAACACGTACCTAACTTAATCATGTAGAAGCTCAAGAATCATATACAAATGAAAACACAAATTCTTATGCATTGTTAATTAGTTAATTGTTATGGGTTAACCTGTCTATAAATAGAAATAGATGGAAGATAAGAGGCATTGAGTGAGTATTTCAGATTTGGATAGGAGAATTAAGGTTCTCATAACAACCTGAGGTGAATCATTTGCTCGTTTGATTAGACAATTCTTTCTTTTATCCTTTTACCCAAGTTGCTTCCTATCAAGCAAAAAGCAACACAGCCTACTTCATTCCCCTTTATGTAAGCATTTGTATTTCAAAGCATACAAGAGTGTGTAACTACAAAATCTATAAGCATATCTCTAAAATGTCTTTAAAGGTTGATTTTGAACAAACATGAATTCAGTGAATATTGAATCACTGTTACAAGTTAAGAAACTTTGCCCTGAAGTTTTATACTCATTTTCCGGAAAATCTGGGAATCTAAATGATAGTTGTTTGCTAGATTTAACTGCCAAGTGATGAATTAAAGACGCTAAAGCAACAAAAAAAAAAATGAACCAACATTACAAGCATTTTCTTTCAAATTAAAAGTGATGAGGAAAGATATTTACCGATGTGGGCGCACAATGTGCACTTTCCAGCGAAGTAGATGACAAAATAGCAGAGTTCATATTCCATACAGATTTGTTCAATTGTTGAACTTGTTTGCATGTCCTGAATCAAAAGTAAATAAAATATTCAGGTACAATGCTGTTTGGATTCCATGTAAGGGAGGGGCGTTTACACCAAACTGTGCTGAAGATCACACTGCTAGAGTAAGCAAATACCAAAGCCTTTTAAAATTTCCAACATCCATCCAGTTTGTTTTATAGCTTTTGAGAGGTTTCAAATGGGGTTCTAATAGAAACACGAAAACCTTCCTTTAGTAAAAGAACATATAGAGCTCTAGAACATGCCCTTCACACAACAATAGTTCTTCAGAAATTTCAAAGACAAGAATACCCGGCTCCATGACGGCCAGGTTTCACTAGAAAAAGAATATATAATATAAGGAAACATCAGGAACAACTTTGCTTCGTAAATTCATGAATGTTCCAGAGGAAAGGCCCAATAAACATGAAAATACCTAGGGCGAACCATTTTCAAGGAGAAAACAGATCGAACTTCCTTGGATGATGAGAGAGTTGCCAATAACTTTGCAAATGCTTCAAACGTAGATGCCTCAGAAGGGACATCTAAACATAGGGAGTTGTAACAGTAGGCAGTGATACATGCTACACTTTTCTTTAAAAGTGAAATTCCTTGTTGAATATCGTTATATGTTTGAACCGTATGGGAAGAAGCTAAAGAATAGTTGAAGCTACTACTCCCAGATGAATCCAAACAAGGCCTCCTGTCAGATTCCATTGAAGCAACACCGAAATTGGTTGAACTTTTATCAGTCCATGAGTTTTCTCCTCCATTAGTCGAGCAATAATGTTGGCGAGGTATAAAAAGAGGATATTCATTGCTGAAAAATAGAGTTATTAGTTGAAATTTTTGCTTAAAGATAAATCATGCAAATATAATTTTAACCAAATTACCTCCTCGAGGAAGGCCGTGCATCCCAATAAGAATCACGTTGCCATATTCGAGAGCAAGAACCCTGAGGTAAAGTTAAAAATGCTCATTATCAAGATTAACAACGTTAAGTTCTCTCTAGCAGGCAATGACAAAAAGATGGTTTAAGACCATAACATTAGATTGACAATCATTGTTAAATACCAAACTGTAAAATGTGAATATCAATTGTAGTAGGAAAAGGAACATTATTAACATTTTGCATACATAAAAAAACCCAGTGATATTTAGTAGGCTTAAGTATGTTGTTCAGTCTTGAAAATTATACTATTTGAATTCTATACATTTTCAATCCCAACAATTACCAATAACAGTGTGCAAGCATGTTTTTTTAGTCTAAATTCTAAAAACACCCCATTTTTGTATAGGCACCCGGTGAATAAAATTCAGATAGGGACTAATTTCTTTGCAAGAAACATACTTCCATGAACCAACAACATCTTTAAACCTATTATGTATCAGGGAAAACATCAAACCTAACTGAATAATACACTATAACAGAAGATATTGAAACATACTAAAATTTTCTACGAACAAAAAAAAAATCTAGAGATTGATAAGTTGAATAGATATATAATGTGTGATAGAATATTATGGACTTGTTTGATCCAAGTAGCCAAACCCTACTTAGTTGATATGTGATAGAGTAAATATGATATGATGTGATAGAATTTCCGTCGTCGTTGTTGAATTATTATTTTAGACTCAAGTCAACATTTAGGAAAGTCAAATCTTTAACAACCAATAATCAAAGAACAAACACCAAATAGATAAATGTTTGGAACATGCTTTGTTAAGAGTCCCACATCGGACAATATATGGTATGAGCATGTCCTTATAAGTGGGGGCAATCCTCACCCTACAAGCCGATTTTGTAGAGTTGAGCTAGGCCCAACCATATTTCTTAACATAGTATCAGAGTCTCGTTTAAGATTTAGTGGGCCACCACCTATCAGATTTCCGCCATCGGGTCACCCGCCATTTATTTCCACGCTCCAGATGTTCAGTCCTGAGCGTGAGAAGTGTGTTAAGAGTCTCACATCGAATAATATATGATCTAAACATGTTTTTATAAGTGGGGGCAATCATATCACTCTACAAGCCGGTTTTGTAAGGTTGAGTTAGGCCCAACCATATTTTTTAACATGCTCTATAACTCATTTCAAAGAAAGAAAGGAATACTTTCATGTGCATGGGACCCTATGCACCAGCCATTCATGCAAAATCAATCTCAACCAAGGTAAAAATAGATGAATTCTAATGCTACATTACATTCACACTCCTAAGCAATCAAATGATAATGGCTAACATAACCATCCTTAACCAGAATATACCAAAACGGGCGATCTTTAAGAAAAGAGTAACCCTTTGATTTTACACCAGGACAATGCTTACCGCAAAACCTGAGTTATGAAGTGATGGGGCAGCCAAGTTGTGAACAATAAGATTTAGAAGTTGCACCGTGTATCTGCTTTCCAAATTACAAACATGGATATAGCTGGTTACTATGCAACAAGATTATTCAACTGAAGTTTAATTTGTGTAATAATGCCAATAAGGAGTCTAGACTATTTGGAAGAAGTAACTGAAATAGGACAACATATGTACATTTAACAACATATGAAATTAAAGCTTTAAGCATAAAACAAAATGTTGTCAGATACCAGTATGGGAATTCACTTGTAAAAATGCACTAATGCATGAACATAAAGCTTGAGGGAGAAACAACTTACCCTAAAGACACGGAAAGATCTTCTGGTGGAACAGACTTGAGATCAAGTGCTCTTGGTAAGAGTGCATTACAAATTTGATCATATAATCCATCCTTGCCCTGTATATTGACTACTACCTGACACCATAAGGACAATCGCGTTTAAGCATGCTTGAACTGACTAACAGATGCAATTAAAAAAAACAAGGTAACGTTATATTTGGCTACAGTTGTGTAGTCTTGAAAAAATATTAGCACATTAATTCTGGCCTAAACATTATGAATGAAGGAAACAGTTTCTCCTCTCTTGTGTTTCTCCAATGGAGAGCCTTATTTTTCTTATATTGTGTACTGAATAATTTTTTGGCATCAGATAGAAATCAACGGATATAGAATAGAAAACAGGGAAAATCCCTTGAATTACAAAATAATATTGCAGAACTTCGAGGGTCTGCACCTCCCTAATGCCAAAATGACCCTTTTCCTATCCATTCATGCAAAATCAATCCCAACCAAGAACATTTTGAAAGGAAGTTTAACTTCAAAAATAGTATATCATTTACATGAACCAACAAAATATTCTGGCCTAAACATTATGAATGAAGGAAACAGTTTCTCCTCTCTTGTGTTTCTCCAATGGAGAGCCTTATTTTTCTTATATTGTGTACTGAATAATTTTTTGGCATCAGATAGAAATCAACGGATATAGAATAGAAAACAGGGAAAATCCCTTGAATTACAAAATAATATTGCAGAACTTCGAGGGTCTGCACCTCCCTAATGCCAAAATGACCCTTTTCCTATCCATTCATGCAAAATCAATCCCAACCAAGAACATTTTGAAAGGAAGTTTAACTTCAAAAATAGTATATCATTTACATGAACCAACAAAATATTTATCAGCACAGATTTACTTTACCCGCCGTTGTGGAAACAACTTGCATATTTGTTTTATGACAACAGACTGTTTATGAAGACGCTCAGAGGTGATCGCCCCCTGCAATGTAATAATATGAGCATATACTTTGAAGTTCATTTAAAACAAATGATATTCCACATATGATTTAGAAATTGAACATCAAAGGAATATACATGTTCAATTGTTATGTGATTAAACATCAAAGAAATGCAGACTGTATAATTAAATAATATGCAGAAATTTACGATTAGTAAAATAAACAAATAGTGCTCACATGCCCTAAGCTTTGGGTGCATATAAGATTGGGGTAAAACTTCTCCAGTTGCTCCACTCGATTCTTTTCCAACTGCAAAGAGTACAATAATAAACCAACCAACATCTTCATATATATTTCACATCAAACTTGATGAGTAACTTCCATGATCATAGCAATAGCATTAGCAGATAAAATAAAAGTCAAAGAAGTAACAAAATACCATAGAAAGGGCAGAATCAAGTACTCCATATTTATGTTTCAGATCAGCAGATATAGTCTCATTCTTAGCCCGTCCTGTAAGATTACTGATTACACTAGGTTCAAAGAGTGAAATTTACATCTCAAGAATTTCATTCTGGTATGTGAAGGTTTCTAACCTTGAGTAACTTGTTCTTGACTATGGTGGAGCTTCTCCCTCAACCTTGCAAGTTTTTCGTGTCGAAGCACTCTCCAATTTGTTTGATCATCTCCCTTTCCCTTATTAATATCACACACAAACTTATTACTTTAACTGAATACTTCAATATTGCAGGGTGTCTTGCAAATATTATAATGTGGTTTCCCTTGCCATATAAAATGAGAAATTTCAAAAGTAGCTAGAAAACAATAATTTTGAAAAAAAACACAATATAAAATTGGCACTAATATATCATATAGAAAAAGATACTAACACAAACACAGCAGAAAAGACAATCACTAAGCATGTCTATAACCTGCCTCCGGTCCAACCTAATCTCGACTATTGGATTGATTCAACGGCTGAGAGCATTAACCACTAAGTCGTTAGAGTTGGATAGATTAAAGCCAATGACAGATATTGGGCTAGACCAAGCTACAGCATTACAAAGGATCCAAGTTACCATTACCCACTTTAGACAACTAGGAGATGAGATGGGTATTAGTTTCAATCCAGGATGCATGAATACTCCTATATGATCGACACAATAAAGGTACACCAAACACACTGGGTCGACTTAGAATTTTAAAAATAAAAAGCAAAACATCATTGAATTTTAGTTTATCTTTTTGGTTGCTTGAAGTATTAGATGCACTCATATTCAAAAAATTTATAGATGGAATGTCGTGAAATTTTGATATTTTTTGTTTACTCACTTTTTTTCTTTTCACTTTACTGCATATATTCATACCCTAAGCTCAAATAACTATGAAGCACAGACATCTGAAACACACAACAACACATACACACGCTATATAGTACTGACACCTTTGAAAAAGGGTGTTTGTGTCCGTGTCTATGTCCCTATCGGACGCCTATAACACTTGTGATTATGTTCTATTTATTTATTTTTTTCAAAATATTACCATTGTGTGGTGTGTTTGGGGGCTTCTTGCTTCATAGCTGACACGTCTAGTAGTGCCCGTTTAACATACTTATTTAAGAGGTGTTGGTGCTACATAGCTCAAAGTCTTAATGAAACAATAATCATCTTCAATATTGATAAACTAACATTTAAAAAAGAAATTGAAGACGATCATATATATTTCCAAAGCTTGATTAACTTAGGTTCATATCTATTTAGCATTACCACAAGTAGAATTCAAACCTTACGGACAAGAACTTCGCTCAACTTTGAGTACAACAAATCTCGACGCTCTTTCAATGATTTCAACGTAGTGTAATACTCGTTTAACCTAAAAAAAAAACAAATCAAATCAGCACAATTTCGAAGAATCTCTTAAGTTGAAAAACCTACAATAGAAATTGAGGAATAAATCAATAAAGTAAAAGCATATACTTGTAGTTGACACAAATAGAACATATAGAAGCTTGATTTGAATTCTCGCATATGGTGCAATTGTTGGTTTTTCTCGCCATCTCCAGCTTCTCACGAAACGAAAAATAAGTCGTGCCGATAAATCTTTCAATCTCGCGAGTTACCGATGATATCGTGTTAGTGTGGGATCAATTATTGGTATTGAAAATAAAACGCGGTTATTGGGACGGTGAAGAACGGTGGGGAGAGAGAGAGAGCGCTGAAACCTTGGAGAAATGCGGAGGAAGAAGTCGATTGCGGAAACGATGGAAGCAATGTTTAAACGCATCGTTTGAATTGCAATTTATACAATTCATGATGGTCTCATCCGTTTCAAATTCTATTATAGTTTAACACGAAAAATACACTTAAATAATTCTCATAATTTAAACTAGCGTACGGAGTAAAATATAAATTATTTCATTATTTTTATTTAATTTTTATTTTATTATTTATAAAATATAATAATTGATAATATTATAAAATATAATAAATTGTCTCATAACTATCCTTTATTAGAATGAGAATATAAGATTTAAAATAAAAATTAAAAGGGTATATTTATAAAAGAATTGCACCAAAATCATATTTTGTTTTTATATATAAATATGGATGAATAATGATATGAAATTTAATTGAGTTGGCAAATTTTAGGGGTATATTTTTTTATGGTTTATATATTAAAATAATAATAGTTTTAATGATTAGTTGTCTATTAATTATTATTATTATTATTATTATTATTATTATTATTAATTTAATTGAAATACATTGTTAGTATAAAAGAATTTTACACCGTCAATTAATCATATTTATTGGATGTTTAAAAGAATTTGACTTTTATTTTAACTACCTATTTAAATGGATGATGGTGATGAATTAACGGTATAAAACTTTTTAGTAATTAATTTTTATTATTATTATTATTATTATTATTATTATTATTATTTGTTTTGATTTGTTAAAAATAAAAGGTTGAATAACACAGTTATATTTATCCTACACTTGATTTTAAAAAAAAATAAAAATATTCATGAGGACAAAAATCAAGATTATGAATTGGACAAAATCTAAAACTTTTGTCCTCATTAAATCATGGATGGGACAATTTTTTATCCCTAATATAAATTATTTAAAATATGATAATATCATTTTATTTTTTATTAAAAATATATCTTTTCTCTTTTCCTCTATTAATATTTATAATATAAAACAAAAATACCTTAATAAAAGTTATTTAAAATACAAAAATAAATTTTTTTTTCTATTAAAAATATAAATTTTCTTCCTCTATTAATATTTATAACATAAAAATATGAAAATATCTTTTTGTCATTAGTATAAGTTATTTCAAATTAAAAAAAAATTATTAAAAGATATTCTCTCTAATCTTCATCTATTAATATTTATAGTACAAATCTATTATCTTGTCGATAGTACGAATAACTTAAAATCCAAAAAAAAAAAATTAATTTTTATTTAAAATACTCTCTCTCTCTCATCTATGATATTTACATTTATAAATGGTATTGTAGTAAATTTTGCTTTATTTTATTTGTTAGGTATAATGTCAATGAAACATCGTACAGGACAAAAAGTTGTCTAGTTTTTAAATATTTGTTTTTGTTAGCCTACAAATTTTAGCCGAAAGATTTTTACAAAGAATGGTAATAACCACGTTTGAAAATGCTAAGTGTCAAGAACATCAAACATAGATTCGATATTTTAACCATGTCGACTAAAGATGGTTTAACTACTTTGTTAGATGATCTGAGACGTAGTGTATTTTAACGGTCAGGAAGCATGGTTTAGAAAAGTGTCAGATGCAGATCTAGAAGATTATGATCACTATGTCTTCGAAACATTTTTAGAATCTTGAAAAGGTTTTACACAAATTAACATTTCGACAAAGGTCGAGTTCGACACGTCTACTAGATTTTGGGGACTTAATGTATTTTTTTAGTATATAAGTCCACCAAAATAAGGATAGGGGTCGACCAAAGATGTTCGACCATAAGCAGTTAGAGGGTTCAAATGCATATATCAACATGATGGTTGGTTTTCAGCAATTTCAACATTAAAGACACGCAGAAGCAAGTTAGAGCGTTGAAGCCCATGTAGTGAGATACGTGTCAAATCATGTGGGAATAACTGGCGTCGACGGTTACTATTGTCTTAGTATATATAGTTTATCTCAATGTTGGGATCATGGTTACAAATTTCATTTTATTCTCTATAGAACTAAAGTATACAAGTCACAGAGAGAAATAGTTTGTGATAGAAAATGTATGTATGCGTCCATTCTTTAAGTTTTTTCAATTAAAGCATTTACTTTCTTATATGACATTTATCATGCTTTTTGTTAATTATCTTTATCCAAAGTTTACTTTTATTAGAAGTTACATTCAGTTTGTCAATATTCAAACATTTAAGATTCAATCACTATTGAAACACTTTTGCTAAGGCAAGTATTTGTTTCATCGTATCCACATGAATTAGTGTGATATCACCGCCATTATACAGTTCATAATGTTTTAAGAAAAGGTTTCAAAAGGTTTTCGATTGTGAAAAGAAATATTCGTTAAATATTGTAACAACGGTAAATAATTTAGAAAATAGCGTTTAAAGAAACATGTCAGGACTAGAGGTCATTAACATATCTCATATGTATTCTATTAATATAGTATGTGAACACCATTATCAATGAATAGTTATCATGTATCAACCATCTTCATTATTTATGTCTAATAAATGACGCAAAATCTCACTGTATTATTCAATCGATGATCTCTCTACCTACTAAACAATACAATGATGTTTAAGATCTGATACTTGTGAATATCAAACCCCAAATCAATGTCTAGACTTTGGTTTGTTATAGATGCATATCTTAGGTCAAGACTTGGAAGATGTTTATCAATATTCAATCAAACTCATGGATTTAACATGTAAACAAAGATAACATCAACATTGATTCATAACATGTTCACAAAACAACGATTAAAAGAGATACATACAAGTTTTAGCTAACTACATCTAATCTGGAAACAAGAGATTTAGTTACACATCTTAATGGTAGCTTGACTCAGAAGAAAGGATAAGAGATGAAAAAGCATCAACAGTGATTTCCTGACTATTGATGCAAATCCAACTTTGATTCTTCAATTCATGAGTTGTTATGGGTTTTTGGTGTATTTTGTACCCAAAGTTGGTATCTCTTCTCCTCAAATGAAGTGAGGAGAGTATTTATATAAAACAAGAAAAAGCAAACTACGATAGTGGCATCAGACCACTCTTAGCGCGGCTAGATGACAAAAGCCATCAAACTGTCATAACTCACGCTAAGCGACACCAGGTCACGCTAAGCGTGAAACCCATTGTCTTGAGAAACATGATGGCGCTTTGACAGCAACAAGTGACACCTCTTGGCATGATTTTGGTCCAAAATGCTTGTAGAAGCCCTTGTCTTTCCCTTTTAGTATCCAAAGCCCCTACAATGCAACAAGATTGCACATTAGATGCAAAAATTGATTAATCTCCAAAATATTTACATGATTAGACTAAAAAGCTAAAATCAAACATAAGTTGAGGGATCAGTATACAAATTCAATTAATTAAGTTACTAAGAACCATTAATCAACACATTTTGGCCCTTAATAACTTTCCCTAACTTAGAACTTTGTTTGTCCTCAAACATGAGTCTTTCCAACCTAAAGAAACAAGCAACATCCAACATCAAAAGATTAACAAGATTTGAGAAAAGACAAATGCATGTTGTAGCACCCTAAAATTTGCCTAATCGTTTTTCTTAATCTCCTGGCTTATGTTTCATTTCATTTGCATCATCATATCATTAGTTCTAAGCAAGGGATCAAGGTATCTTGTTCAATTCTCAAGAAGAAGAACATGTTTCTCAATTCTTAAGCAAGTTTTTATTCTCAACCTTGTGGTATTATCAAGCCCCAAGGTCCTTTTATCCTCAAGGCATGTCTCACAACCATTTGAATCAAGATTACAAGCATTGATCACATCCTTTTATCTTGTGAACAACTGGATTAAGGTTTTGGTCAAAGGGAATTTGTGGCTAGCTTCTTAGGCAAGACATAATTCTATGGCTCAATACACATCTTGAGGGTTTCCTACATGTTTTATGTTTCATCACAAGTCATGGCATGAGCTTCAATCAGTGGAAAGAGTGCTAGGGTTTCATCTGATTAAGAAAAGTCAATTGTGGCTCCATAAGGTCAAAGTCTTGGATTTCAAGGTCAATCAAAGGTATTTTATGCCTTATCAAGTGTTTTCATGTATTTGGAACAAGAAGAATCAAGGAGAAACATAAAATCAAGAGTTTGATTAAATTAGGGTTTTGATTGAAAAAATTTCTAGGTGTAGAAAACCCTAATTCTAGTCATTTTGCAACATCCATAACATTTTTATCCTTGATCCAATTGGAGCAAACTTGTTATCAAATTAAAGAGGACACCATGAACTATATGTTTTTAGAAGAAAGCAAGTCCAAAAGATTCATAGTTTGAGATATATGGAGAGATAAAGTTGAGAAAATCAAGACTTTGTCATTTCAACACTTAGAAAATTTTCTAAGTATGGAAATTCAGCTTGAAGTACATGTTTTCAAGCCTATATTTCACGGTGATCCAAGTTTTCTCACGCCTGAAGTATGGAAATTCAGCTTGAAGTATGAAAATTTTCTAAGTATGGAAATTCAGCTTGAAGTATGGAAATTGATGACTTGTTACATAGTGCATTATTCTTGGACCTCTATTTCATGCTACATAAACTGGTCATGCAACAACATTGCCCCATCATTTTCTCACGCCTATCTCCTCATTTGCCTTGCCAAGACATTGCTACAAATGACCAAACACATATATGTACCACATGTACCATATTTTGAATGTTTGGCAAAATAAGGGAAAAACACAAGATATGCACACCAAGGTAGCTGCTCCATTCTCTGATTTTGGTCCTTTGTGCTTACAAGATGACAACAAAAACAATGAGAGAGCCATGTTGTGCTCGTACCACCCTTCACAACATCCAT